TCAGTCAGTCAGTCAGTCAGTCAGTCAGTCAGTCAGTCAGTCAGTCAGTCAGTCAGTCAGTCAGTCAGTCAGTCAGTCAGTCAGTCAGTCAGTCAGTCAGTCAGTCAGTCAGTCAGTCAGTCAGTCAGTCAGTCAGTCAGTCAGTCAGTCAGTCAGTCAGTCAGTCAGTCAGTCAGTCAGTCAGTCAGTCAGTCAGTCAGTCAGTCAGTCAGTCAGTCAGTCAGTCAGTCAGTCAGTCAGTCAGTCAGTCAGTCAGTCAGTCAGTCAGTCACTCAGTCAGTCAATCAATCAATCAATCAACCAATCGATTAATCAATTAATCAATTAATCAACCAATCACTTACTAGACCCTTCACTCCATCCATCAGGCATTCATCCACCCACTAAAACACCGGTCAAGGAATGTTGAGTGTTATATTGCAATGAAGGCGCCTGGCAATCCATCATACTCATGTGGACAGAAAATTACAGATTGCAGTCTGCAGTGCTCTTCACATAATACGCAGCACACTTCTTCATGTTCACGTTTATGCATTTTTATTCTCTTGCAAACGTCTGTGTTGAACTACTGAGCATTTGTTCAAGAATATTTTTGCTCTGCTGTCTCGAGGTATATATATAAATATATCAATTATCAATTCGTTCAGTCGTTTTGAACGTGTATTATTTGTTGCAAATGTTGTATTTCTAATTGTCTAAGATTAACATAAAATAAAAGACATGAATCAACTAGATTAGGCAAAATAAATTCTTAAACATGTGAACAACCATTTTTCTGCAATATCAATAATAATATTAAAAACATGAATGCTCTAGCAGTTGTGTTTTAAGCCAGGAACTTGTATGCACTTGTTAAAAAAAACTTATAAATTCAAACATCAATGTGCTGTAACCTTGTTTAAGTTAAAAATTTATATTTGAGTGAACTATTTTTTCAATATTTTAAACAATGTTAAACAGAATGTAGGAAACATTTTACAATGATGGGCTGGAGGACGTTTGGCTGCGTATGATTGAAGCCTTCAATGAAGAACATCTCAAAACAAGCGCCACACACACACACAAATACACACATCTTACACGCACATAGCATGCACACACCACACATGAAAACGCACACACACACACATGAAAACGCACACACACACACAAACACACACCTCACTCACATCATACTCAAACACACACACATCATACATGAACATACACAAATACAGACTACACCACACACACACACACACACACACACACACACACACACACACAACGCATACACACACACACACTACACCACACAGACACACACGCACGCACACACACACAGTTTGAACTTAAAGATATTCCTATTTTGCTGTTTCATAAATTAACATCCCGTCTGTGGCGAATTCAGATGATTGAATCATTTTTAAATTACTCACGTCAATTTCGGTCCCGAAATTTTTTGTCACGAATTATTATTTATTATTTTTTTTTTCAACATTTATTTTTATAAAAACTCAGGCGAGAATATTTTTTAGAAAGAATTTTTCGGGCCAAAGTTTGAAGTTTTTAACTACATTTAAATTCCTTTCCACCCTTTCATCATAAAAATTGTGATGTGATTGCCTTCAGAACTCACTTATTCAAATTTTTTAAAATTTAACATTTTTTTTTATAAATTCTCGTCTTAATTTTTATAACTTAAAAAAATTGTTCAACTTTAGCGTCGAAAAAATCAAATTAAATCAACCCATCAAAAAATAACCGTGAACCGAACGAAGAGAAATAGAAGAAAAATCAAACGTTTCCTTATACATAGATGATTAAAAAGTAAAAAATTGAAGAATTGCAACGGAAATGATGATCTCAAAAAGACGAGATTGTTTTCGCTAAACACGAGTGACTGAAAAGGTTTAAAATGATGGAATTACGACATGCACCTTACATGCCGAATCCTAAATAGCAAATTCTTTGATACTAAAGGGAATGCGAATGCTGCTTTATACCAATGTCTATTTCGATTGTCTGTCCATCAAGAATATATTTTTATTTTTCAATTGCAGTATTGAATCATCAGTTCCCCTCAACGATATAGTAATTTTTCTTCTGTTGGGTGTTGTGACGGTTTCCTGTTTGTTTAATTTTTTAGAGCTTAGTGGAAAGCTTTTCAAGTCATTCTTTACAGCAAATGTGTTGTGAGTGAATTACTGAGGTTTATTTAATTTTTATTTAATTGAATAAAATCAATTTCAATTGTTTTTATACAAAGAAGTGATTATCTCATCATTATCTCCTGCCAAAAACACAGATTGGACTTGAAAAAAAATTCATGTAAAATTTTGGTTCTGAAATAAGAATAAGTGGTTCGACAGCAATCAATCCAAAACTCTAACAAACCTATATACGCAATGCTAGTGCGTGCATGCAAAATATATCAGAACGTAGAGTTGTGTGGTTGTGGTAGCGCGGAAGTTCAATTGTTACCAAGTAAAAAAGTTTTGAAATAAAAGCAGCTTTGTGCTTCACAGAAATGTATGATGAAAACTTACGCAACAAACAAACAACAATAAACAAACATGCAAACATGCAAACAAACCAACAAGCAAACCAACAAGCAAACAAGCAGACAAACAAACGAACGAACAGACAAGAAGTTACGAACATTGCACGGAGAGTTGGACTTCGGTGTAGTTGTTGACCAGCAGACCAGGACCGCTGATGACTTGGCACCTCAGAACTGCCTTGTCGTGAGAGGGCTTCATCACCAAACGAACAAACCTGCGGGTGCATGCATCAGATTTGAAAAATGTGTGCGTTCTACTCAAGTTCATAATTGCGTGAGTGTGTTTGTATGTATGTGTGTGTGTTAGTTTGTGTGTGTTTGTATGTGTTTATTTGTATGTGTGTGTTTGTATGTGCGTGTGTTTGTTTGTGTGTGTAGTTGCATGTGTGTGTTTGTATGTATGTGTGTGTTTGTATGTTAAAACCAAAACATGATAAGTGACACTGAACCGTCAAACATCAAGTAACAAATGGATTAACACTTTGATTTGTCGTTAATTGTTGTTTGTATGTGTGTATGTATGTGTGTGTTTGTATGTATGTGCGTGTGTGCGTGTGCGTTAACATTCAGGTATGTTTGAGTATGTACGTTGATGTCTGAGTTATGCAGGAAGTGGAGAGAAGCTGACCAACCTGAAAACACTGCAGGACATCTTCCTCATGCCAGCCTGACCCAGAGTTGACAGTTCTTCCTGTTTGCGAGTGTTCATGTCGGTTGGCTCGTTTCAACGTTTGTGTGAAGAAAGAACTTTTTGTTATTTTCATCATAAATTTTGATTTATCTTGCGATCGAGTTGATAATAATGCGTTCATGTTTGTCGTGTAGGAATGTCACTACCTGTGACATTCCTTGTGACAATTGTAATAGATTGTAAGGAAAAAATGTTAAACGTCAGCGAGTTTTTTTTCACTCAAAATTATTATTTTGATTAATAAAAATCTATAAATGCCATGAAATAAAAATCTTCATAGTGGTCGGTATTGTCATATTAATTAAACATAGCAGCAGTAGGTTGCTAGTCGTGAAGGAACCTCGACAGACACAAGCGACCACAGTAGCCAAATTAACATTTGAAGACTTCAGGGCAGACAGACAAATAGATCGGCTTTCCATAAATTGGGCCTCACATCACAATCACGCCAGTAAACCTATCTTTACGATTGCCACTGAGACCAACTCTCGCGCAATTATCATGCCATCACTGCTTCCGATTGAAATTATTCATGGGCTTCCTGTGCGTTTGCTTGTGTTGCTGTCTGCTTACTTGTGCGTACACACCACACATACCACACACACACACACACACACACACACATACGCGCCACACACACATCACATACATACACACACACACAGTTAACTGATTTTATTCAGATGTTTGACTGTTTAGTGTCACTCATCGCTGATTTGGTTTTAACACACACACACACACATCACATACATACACACACCAAATACATACACACACATCACATACACACATACACACACACATCACATACACACATACATACACACATCACATACATACACACACATACATACATACACACACATTTGCACATCACACATACACACACACACACACATCACATATACACACATACACACACCACATACACACACCACATACACACACACATATACACACATACATACATACATACACATACACACACCACACATATCCGTATAATGAACGTGTACTGACGGCTTTTAGTTGGATAACGCATTCCACCCACCACTGAATATAAACTTCTAACTAAATCATCCAAACAGCAGCAAACACTTTTCAAGAAGTTTAGACTTGAAAAAAAAACCGTTTATAAGTTTTGTTTGTGTTTAATTTTTCAATATGCTCATTACGGACGTTGTATTAGCAGCTTCCAGGTTGTATATGCATGTGCATGTTTTGTACGGTTGAATAAATTGGCTGGGTGGAAAGACTTAATAAGCCGGTGTGCTCAAACTCTTACAAGTTTTCAATTGCATTTAATAAAGAAGAATGAGTCTTTTTTTGTGATATAAGATTTGAATTTGGTTGCTATATATTTGTTTTTCTGTTTTTTATACTTAACAAGTCTTCACACAAACCCACTCTTTCATTTCTAATATAAACTTTTTCTCTTCAATAATTATTCGTCGCGAAATGATAAACAAGTAAGTGTTTGCATAAAATGAAGTTCTCGGTTAGTTTAATTAGTTCCCATACAAATCAATTTTTTTCATTTCTGGTCTGCTTTTGAATTCATTATGTTTAATAAAATTTTGTGTTGTTATTTTTAAATTTTAAGTTAAAATTTAGGCCAATATTTGATTTATGATATATAACCAACTTTGATACATAATATAATATGTACTATAATAAAATAAAATGATATGTATTTATAGATATATAAACACTAAACTTTTACATTTGGTAACGCCCTGTTTTCAAAATATCTCTTCTTATTCCATTTTGAAATTTAACAAGCACAGCAGTGGAGGCGAGCATTTAGCAAACTTCTAACCCTCAGCTAATATAATACAATGGTGTAAGAAGCGTTCATCATGGTGAAACAAAAACCTGACTGCTTTATAGCCGTAGTACTTTGGCTCACCCACCGCGCGCATTTTCTCATTTAACACTTTACTAAAAAGCGAGGGCAGCATAGATGACTTTGAAATATCATAGTTTGAAAATATTGAATGTTGGCCATTTGTGTGATGACGCAAATCGCCGCTGCATAGTGACGTCAGCAGGAAACGTTTTAAAGTTCAAAGTTCAAGTTTTATAATTTAGTTTCCTATGATAAAATGTAAGCACTAGAGAAAGAATTTAATTTGCACTAGTTAAGTTTGTTCCAACGAGCCAGAGAATAAATTAAAAACATTATTTCCTTCTTTATAAGAGCTTACGTTTTCATAAAATTATAAAATGATGATCAAAAAAGAAAGGTTTTCAACGTGTTGCAATATTTCGCTCCTTAATGACTCGCTCACGTCAGTTATAATTGCGTACGACGAGTTCGTACGCTGAAGATGTTGCGTGCATTCAAACATTGTCGGCAGGTCAAGTAGCATCTAATTGCGCTTTCATTCATAAACTATGAGCAAGCGTTTCAGGGAGTGCGTGTGTGTTGTGATTGTATGTATGAATGTTTGCACGTGTAGGTGAATGTTTGTACGTGTAGGTGAATGTTTGTACATGTAGATGAATGATTGCACGTGTATGTGAATGTTTGTACGTGCATGCAAATGTTTGTACATGTTACCATGTGCTTGGTTGCTTATATATTTTAGATATTTGTTAGTTTGTTTGTGTGTGTGCATGTCCAATCCATATTAACTTAAAATTTTGCCCACCTACATAGAAGCAATGATGAAACTTTTCAGAACATGATTATGAAGCTTGTTTGCAAGAGACACACATAGGTACATTAACACTTCTCACACACAATCAAGCACTCAAATGTAGAATAAGAACATGAAAACCATCTTATTCATTTGTTTGAATAACAAACAGACAAACTAACAAACAACCTACAGGCAAACAGACCAACATATAAACAAACTAGCAGACTAACAGGCAAACAAACAAACAAATAAATTAACTAACAGGCAAAAAGTCAAACAAACAAATGATCAAACAAACAAAGATAAACAACGAATATAAAAAAAGACCAACCCGACTTGACCCAACGACGGAGGTCAACTCATTGCCCCCCAGGAAGAACGCCATGTGGGGGTGAGGGCAGGAGGAGTTGGACTGGCACTGGAAGACCAGGCTCTGGTTCTCATTTACCGTCAGGCGCTTCTCTGGTGGAATTTTCATCATAGTCGTCGTCAAATTCAGAAGGTAGAGTTCACCTGGTCAAAGTGGTGGTGGTGGTGGTGATGGTGGTAGAAATAATTATAGGAGGTAACGATTTTGATGGTGGTGATGATGATGGTGATGCTGGCAATAATTATAGGAAATGATAATTTTGACGATGATGGTGGTGGAGATGATGATGGTGATGATGGTTGTAGGCGAGAATGATGATGATGGTGATGTTTCCGATTATGATTACAATGGTGGTTGTAATCCTAATTTGGAAATTTGCTACATCGGTTACTTTAATTTGCGAGTAATTAAATAATTGGCATAAGGGGATAATTGGCTGAAAATTAATTAATTGATTGACGTATTTGTTATTGTGAAGACGTTTTTAATGCAACCAAATGAGATTAGTTCGTTTAATTTGCGTTAAGTGTGTATCTGGCTTTCAAAACTCAGTACCACAAAACTTGATCTTTAAAAAATGAGAAGTTTTTGTGTAATTCATATTCAATCATTAATATTTTATATTATATTTTCAATAAATTGTTTCAATTGAATAAGTACAAAATTTATTGCTCACAAAATGTAAAAAATGTGACAACATTTACAGAAGCGTTAGCATGAGTTTGTGCTGTCAAAAGTTACGAGCGTGAATTAAAAACTTCTATGTTCTCGCTCTTCAAAAGAGTAATTTCGATGATATGATAAAATAGAACAAAATTAAGAACTGTGCAATTAAGTACAAAATTTTAAAGTTAAAATCTGGAAAAATGAAATTTTGTACATGGAATTGAAATGTATACACTGATAGGTTCAATAATTTCTCTTGAGACATCGTTCATCTCGGAAAAATTTTATCTTAAAGTTTGGAAAATTCAAGTCCAAATTATTGAAAGTTTATGTAAATTTTACTGACTTTGAGATAACAAAAAATTTGATGTATTTTACTGAGCTGAATCCAGGAAGCCCCTCAAATCAATTTCCCTCTCTCTTTCTCTCTTGTGTAATATAAAATTTTTTCGTCACCAAAATATTAACAACATTTTACAACAAAATGTTAAGGTTGTATTTTAGTGTACTATCTTGTGCACTTCCTATCATCGTAACTAGCAATTAGGGTGGCAACATGTAGAAATAGAAAAGTTGAAAATGCAATTGAAAAGGCATGGAAGGATTGATCAATTGATACGCTAAATACTCAGAGGTGAATGTATTATAGTAAGATTTTTTTAACAACACGACAGCGTTCACTTTATTGAAGAATCTTGCAAAATAAGACAGATTTAAGAAAAGACATTTAAAACCGTTTGAAAGGATCCTACAGAATGTTTCATTACTAACTTGTTTAAAATGATTTATAGATCCAAAAAAAATTATTGCTCTTTTGCTGAAAAAATTTGGATAATTTAGAAAAAAATTGATAATAATATAATTTTATAATATTAACTCAATGAGCCAAAGAACAAGCAAAATTATTTAAATAGAGATTGAACATATTCCAGTGATAAACCGTTTTAAATTTAAATTATCATTATTACTTTTTGAGATTAGGTTCGTAACTCAAGTTGGAAGAAATAACACAATCAGATCGTTCTTAAAAGATGTTTATTTCCTTAACTTTTTTTTATTAGAGCTGTTCATTATTGAGTACAACAATGTTTTTAGTTTTTTAGTACATTTACCGTACTTACTTATATAATATCGGTTTTTCGCTTTTAACTTTTCCAATTATTGATTATCTTCTTTAAAACTGTCTACACAAGCACTCGAAAAAGGCGAACCGAAGATGAAAAGAGAACAGAGAGGATTAGATGCCACACCTGCACATGTCATCACGTGATAGGTCTTCACGCCGCGTGACATCACAACGCATCACGTGACGCAATCTCGTGACATCACACCACGTGACATCACATCTCGTGACATCATACAACCTAACACCATACCCCGAGATATTACACCACGTGACATCAAACCACGTGACATCACATCACGAGACATCACATCACGTGACATCACATCACATCACGAGACACCACATCACGTGACATCACATCACGTGACATCACATCACGTGATATCGCACTAAGTTTTATTGTATCGCACACATAGCAAACTCTACATCGTCAGTGAGTTCGTTTGCTACTAACGCCTGCGCCTTATCGGTTAATAAAACCTCGATGTGCACCAATTTTTTTATTGGTGAATCTGGCTGGTTTTGTAACATTTGTTTTCGTCTGGTTTACTGTAGTATCAATATTTAATTTATATAATTATCATATTTCATGCTAATTAAAAAAGGAAAATAAATTCCAAATGACATAAGTTGGAAGTAAGAGATACTGGGAATATTTCATGGCTTATACTGGATTCAAATTGGGATCGTTATTTTATTAATGTTGGTGCCTACATTATTGGGACAATGAAGTCGTCATCATCATCAACATCATTCCGACTTTAATGTTGATACTATTGACATCATCATCATTATCATCATCGTCGTTGTCTTCATCATCGTCATCATCATCATCACCTTCATCATCATCGTCAACATATGGCCTCATTATTAAAAGGTCATGAGGAACAATATAACTATCATTTTCTTTTTCATCATCATCATCATCACTATCATTATCACCATCACTGCTATTATCATCATCAATATCGTCATCTTCATCATTTTGAACGATAACAACATCATCATCGTCATCATCAACATCATCATCGTCATCATCATCGTAATTTTAATCAATATATTGTGTCTCGACTTTAGCCATCCATCAATCTCTCACACCTTGCGTCACTTCAATAGGCCGTGATGAGGACGACGATCATGAAGACGAGGACGGTAATGATGATGATTATGAAGATGATGATGGTGATGATGATTGTGATGAGGATGATGATGATATTGAGGAGACGGATAATGATGACGTCATTTTGATGATGATGAAGATGATGATAATGATTATGAAGAGGATGATGGTGATGATGATGGTGATGATTATGATGGTGATGATTATGATGGTGATGATTATGATGGTGATGATTATGATGGTGATGATTATGATGGTGATGATTATGATGGTGATGATTATGATGGTGATGATTATGATGGTGATGATTATGATGGTGATGATTATGATGGTGATGATTATGATGGTGATGATTATGATGGTGATGATTATGATGGTGATGATTATGATGGTGATGATTATGATAGTGATGATTATGATGTCGATGATGATGATGATGGTGAGGCGGGTGATAACAATGATGAAGAAGGAAGGAGACAGTAGTGACGATGATAATGACGATGATGTTATGTTCCATTGATGATGAGATTGATAGCAATGAAAACAATGATGGTGCTGCTTATGATAATAATACTGACATACTAAAGATCTTTCTGTTATATTCTTAAGTAAATGGACGTTTTTCTGGTTAATTGTAGCACGCTGATTTCAAATCTGTATTCAGTTCGTTCGTATCGCACCAAATTTTTGAGAAAAAATAAACTTCAGCTGATGTTCCACTCACATTCATCAGTTAATAATAATTAAAATTTGCAGTATCTACTAGTTGAACAAAATGATGGAAGCATTGTTCAGAGTTGAATGAATTTTTCTACATTTTTGTCATTGGAACTCCATTGACGAATGAATCAACGTCCAAAATATTTTTGACGAATTTGTGGGAAAAAAAAACTTTATTTAAAATTTTGAATGAACATGATACCGTAAGGAGGTTGATGTTTTGAAAGTATTTAGGAGTGTTTCACTCAGGCGGACAACGAACATCTCGCACGTGAAAAACGCATTGAAAAGCATATGTACATACAAACGCAGGGGCCAATTTATGTGAATCGGAAAGCCATGGATATCAGCACTTGAACAACCATTTTTTAGCTATTTTTTAATGTACGTACCCAACTACCCAACATATATTTTATTAAGTAATTTTTAAACATTTTTAGACATTACTTCGCCAACTTACTTTAAAATCTCTCTCAAAAAAATTAAATTTTGACCTCTCTTGCCCAAGTTCTCCCTCGTCAAAGTTGATAAATCAACCCTCGTACAAACGCGTATACACATACACGCACACACACACATACTCACACATACATACACACACATACATACACACACACACGCACACACACATATATATATATATATATATATATACACACTCCCACATAACTCCCTACAAAATTTAAAGTAAACATATCTAATAATATACAATACACACTCATTCAAACAAACAAAATACAAACAAACGAACATATATAAATACAAACAAACATACCAACAAACAAACAAACATACACAAACAAACAAAAATACGTACATACTTACATACCAACAAACAAACAAACAAACAACCAAATAAACAAACAAAAAAACAAACAAACATACATAAAAACAAACATACATACAAACAAAAAAACAAACAAACATACAAAGAAAGAAACAAACAAACAAACATACATACAAACAATCAAAGAAACAAACAAACAAACAAATAAACAAACAAAAAAACAAACAAACATACATACAAACAATCAAACAAACATACAAACAAACAAACAAACAAACAAACACAGCCACCAACGCACCAGCAATGTGTAGAACATGTGTGACTTGATTGAGCACCACGGTGTCCTTCCCCCTCACTTCACATGTGTAATTGCCTGCGTCTTCCAGACTAACATCTAGAGGTGTGGTAGAGGTCAAGGGCCGAGGCGTGGAAGTTGAAATTGTGAAAATGTTCACAGTGAGGTTGGAAAATATTCGTTTTATTATATTTTTTGTATAAATAAATTTTCATCTATTTATAATTTATTTTTATAAATTTAGAATGATTCATCTCTTTGGATTTTTAACATCAAAAAGATATCGTCATCCATTAGCAGCATGAGTATGATGGTCATCACATGATGGATGTAATTTTTTTTGAAGTAAAACTATTAAAATCTACAGAGACGAAAATTTTATTCGTGTTGAATTTTTGAAAAAAAATTTGAAATTAATGATAATGGTTGAAAAAAAGAAATATAAAGACACTAGACAAGAAACCAAAATAATTAAATTTAATCACGTTAGTTGTTAGTTGGATTTATTTAACAGTTGAAATTGAAAACATCAAACAAAATTCTTATAATAGAGTTAAGATTTATAAAATAAGGCAATAGTGAAGACGATAAGTCAGTATCTGATTGAACTTATCATTACAATCGTCCGATGCATAAATAAGTTTTTTTTTTAATTCCATTCATTCACAAAAAAAATGAAGAATAAAGAATAAGTTTAAAATGAAAATTCAACAACATCCAAACATTTTGCTAAAAGAGCAAACAGTTTGAGAAAAAATTAGCAACAAATAACAACTTTGCATTGCAACATGTTAAGTGACTATATCTCAACAACAACAACAATATCAACAACAACAGCAACAACATCAACAACAACAACAACAATAACAACAACAACAACAACATGAACGACATCAGTGACTTTTGATAGTTAGAGTTGATGTGAAGCGGTTGTCTAGATTGCTGACGAACATGGTCTGGACACGTTTGACTGGAGTGTTGAAGGGCTTCTCAATGACAATCTGGTTGTTCATGCGGGTCACTTCAGCTGCAGGTGTCGTCGTCATCGTAGTGGTGGTTGTTGTGGTGGCGTTTGTTGTGAAAGTTGTGTGGTAGTGGTGGTTGATGGCTGGTGTGCTTTTGGTGGTTGTTGGTGGCTGTGTAGAGCTGCAGTGGCTTGAGCAGTTTTGATGGTTGTAAGGATGATAAGTGTTGTATTGGATATGATTGTATTGGATATGACTC